AGTTACGATGACATTATAGATCTGGTCATCTCCTAATAAGGCTCCAGGTTGACCTAACTCGGCGCGAATAAGAAGTACTTACTTAGATGGCAATGTCATAGTTAAATACAGACCCAGGCACCGATTTCCCTTCTTTTTAAAAAAATTTTTTTTATAGTTAATTGACTTAAAAAATTATATATATATGTGTGTGTATATATATATATATACACACACATATATATATATATATTTTTTTTTTCTTTTAAGGATTTGCAATAGGGTGTGTACACTCGTGGGACAGAGACAGAGATGGACAGAGACAATGATAGGGAAAGTGAGAGATCACCCCCTGGGGGGATGGCCATGCTGCAATCTCTTCTCCATTCTCCTCTGAGGATCTTGGGCACGCGCGCACATGCAACCACTGTGATTTTCAAGCCACCAGGCCCAGAACTATTAGAATCACAGCTGGCCATGTGAGAGTCCAGCACCTTAACCACCACACCACCTGCTGGACCCTCACTTTCTTAAAATGTTTTTCTTAGACTTGACTGATAAACACTGTATTCATGCTTAGAAAAAGTTTTGTATGCTGTAAAGATGTAAAGTGAAAATGTAAATTTTAAAAAAGTAATAAAATACAAATTTTAAAAGCACTGTAATATTTTAAAGCCAATTTTCTCAAGAAAAAAAATGATCATGCTTTATAAAAGGAAATATTTCTTCCATTAGCCTTATTTCTTTAATAATTTTCTAGCCAAGAAGAAAGCAACAAATACCTACTCATGCTCAACTAATCTTAAATAACTTCTTGACAATTCATCTGTTTTGAAATGCCAAATTCATTTTCGGAATGTTGCCTCTCTGCCATTTCTTTTTTCACTTTGTTGGATTTATGACTTCAAAAGAAATATGTCTTGCAGAATTACTCTTAATATCATGTGGATTGAGATCAATAGTAAAACAAAATATTACATGGTGTCAATTGAAACATTTCATCACATTTAAGCTTACAGATTCAATTTGGGAGGTTATGAAACACGAACGCTTCCCATGGGGACAATGAGTGGTAATTACTGAAGATGCCTGTAAGTTAAATGTTATTAGCGGGTAGCCCCTCTGCTTTCTGAAGACATTGTGGTTGGCTCTTCACTCTCCAGTACGGTCCATGTTATCAGGTCCAAGAAGAAATGAGTTGGTATCAAGAGAATTTGAGCTGGAAAAACTTACAGTGTGCAAACAATGAAATGATAACTTTTATCAGATAATGCTAGTAAAAATTCATACTTATGGGCCAGGAGGTGGCGTGGTGGTTATGGCATTAGATTCCCACATGGCTGACTGTGGTTCGAGTCCCTGACCTAGCAGCTTGCATTCTCGCTTTCCCTCTCTTTTTCTGGTCAAATTGAAAAAAAAAAAAAATTATACTGATGAATAAAATAAAATTAAATAATTCTTTTAAAAAAATTCATACTTGACCAGAGTCTTTACTAGCTGTGATGGCCAGAATATTTCATCAGAACTGTAAAAGTTGAAAGAGATTATAAAGTGTGAGCAGATGAGAGTCTGAGACAGTATTCTCCCGCCCAGTGATCTGAAGATTCAGCGGCTCAACATACTAAACAAATAGAGCACGACAAGCTGCCCTCTTTCTTCCCTTTTTCCCTTTCTTTTGCTCTTTCTCTTTCTCTCTTCCAGCTTCTAATTTTCATAGCCCATTCTGGTCACCTCTAAATGAAAATGTTTTCACTGGCATGATGTAATAAAATATTGTATGTTACTGTAAGTATGATCCAGAGATTGAAGTTGATTAAATTGAATGAGAGTTTGCATTGAAAGTAAATAGCGGGGTACATTTAAAAGGAAACGCACAACCCCTTTCTTTCTTTAATGTTGTGGTAAGCAGAATGATGTCCTCTATACTGTCCCCAAAGACACCACACCCTAATCCCTGGAACCTATGAGTATGCTATGTTTTATGGCAAAGGGGAATTAAGGTTGCTTCTCTGGTGAGTTTATGATAGGGAGATTATCCTAGATTTTTCTGGGTCAACCCCCTATAATTGCAAAGTCTTTGAAGATAGAAACAAAAAAGATGAAAGAGAAAGAGTAATGTGATGTGGAAGGAGTGACTCGCCTTGACATGGCTGGCTTTGAAGACAGAAGAGGGGGCCACAAGCCAAGGAATGTGGGAAACCTTCTGGGATCCCAAGAAAATATCCCTCCCCTAAGGGAAAAGAACAATCCCTCATCATCTACAGGCAGTACAGTGGAACTCATGGAGATGTCTGATAAAGAATTCAGAATATTTGTAGTGACAAAACTAAACGAGATGCAAGAACTGAGAGATAATGAACTCCAGAAGATGCAGGAGAAAAGAGATGAAGAGTTCCAGGAGGTGTTGAAGTTCTTTCATGATCTGAAAGAGGAAATACACAGCATAAAAAAGAATCAAATGGAGCTATTAGAGATGAAGGCTGTCCCTCAGGAAATCAAAACATCCCTCGAAAGTATTAAAAGAAGATTAGTCCATACAGAAAATCGAATCTTAGATGTTGAAGGCAAAACCTCTGATTTAGAAAAAACAACCAAAGCAACCTGAGAAAATAACCCCCCAAAATGATAATACTATATGAGAAATACTAGACAGCATTAAGCACCCCAACATTGGAAAATTGGTATCCCAGAAGGTGAGGAAACTAATAAGGTCACTGATAATCTATTCTATGAAATCTTGGAAGAGGGACCAGCAGTTAGCATAATGGCTATGTCGCTGAACTCCCATGTAGTTGACTGCAGTTTGAGTTTCGGACCCGGTGGCTTAAACTCATGCCGGGCGCATGTGCATGTGTGCCCAAGATCCCGAGAGGAGAATGGAGGAGAAGGGATTATGGCGTGGTCATGTCCCCTGGGGGGCTTATTTCTCACTTTCTATCTCTCTCTCTCTCTCTCTCTGTCTTTCTGGCGAGCGCATGAGCCCTAAAGCAAAAACTTCTAAAAAAAAAAAAAATCTTAGAAGAAAACTTTCCAAATCTAAAGAGGCATTCAAATATCCAAGAAGTACAAAGGACCCCTAATAGAATCAACCCAAGAAGATCTTCTCCAAGGCATGTCATAGCCAGACTGGTCAAATCTACGGATAAAGATAAAGATGATACTAAAATTGGCAAGGTTACTCATAAGGGTTATCCTATCAGGCTAACCTCAGACCTCTCATCAGAAACAATGCGAGCAAGGAAAGAATGGAAAAATATATTCATATTCAAAGTATTAAGTAAGAAACAGTTTCAACCAAGAATACTATACCTGGCAAGATTATCTTTCATATGGAAAGAAAGAATAAAAACATTCTCAGATAAACATGACCTGATAGAATTTGCCAGTAGCAGACCCACTCTTCAAGAAGTTCTGAAAGGAGTGCTCGACCAGTTAAACTAAAGTTACATAAAGAAATAAGAGAACAAAAGGCAATCAAGAAAATGACCAATTAATGCTAGAGACAAGAAATATAAATAACAACATAGAATGTTAACTTCCAGGATTTAAACAGAAAGATTGGACCACAGCAACACTGCATATTCAACAGAAGAGAGTTTGAACATAAGAGTAAACTGGTAAAATAGAATTTTATGATTTTTTGAGTAAAACATTACTGATTTTTTAAAATGTGCTTTGTTTTCCCAATTTAAACATTTTACTTTCTTTTGAGTTGTTGATAGGTTCAGGAATTTGTTAAAATATTTTTCTTGTTTGTTTCTGTAAATGGAAACATAAACATTTCTTCCTTCCTGACCCCTCTTGAATTAGAAATATCTGGGAGTATTCTGATTTTGTAGCAGAAGGGTTATTTGCATAAGTTCAAGAATGCTTGTTGCATTGAATCAGAAATTGGAAAAACTCATTATTGGACAGGACTTTGACTGGAATGTCATACCTGAAGATCAATTAGAAAACTATGGAACTAAGGTGGATCTCAAGTAAGCCAACAGGAGCTCTTAGAAAGATGGCCTGGCACCATAAATAGTTCTGCCTGGCAGAAAGGATTAGAGAAGTTATATGAAAGAATTTATAACATAAAATAACCTGGGCTTTTCCAGCCCAGCATTTTAGTCAGTAGAGATTGTAAAAGAGCAACCAACCAGAGAATTATCTTGAGAAAGACTTTGAAGGAAGAAAAAGAGACTGATCTTTGCTAGCAGGTGGTATATCACAGAATACTTGGTAGGCAGGGCTGAACTGAGAAGGCTGATGTGTGACTAGTGTGCTGGGCATTTGCTTCTCAACAATTTGAGTAGTTGACAATTTGTAAATATTTTTTCAAAAATATTTAAAACCATACTGTTTCTGCTATTACAGAGTCACAAACAAAATTATAAGAACTATTTTGAAAATATTTAAACTTTAAAAACTTTAAAATTCAGTATTTTGAAAAAAAATTATTTTGGGAGAGGTTTTTGCTGTAGGGCGTGTGTGCTCACCAGACAGAGAGAGACAGAGAAACAGAAAGCGAGAAATCACCCCCCAGAGGGGATGGCATGCTGCAATCCCTTCTCCTCCATTCTCCTCTCGGGATCTTGGGCATGCATGCACACACGCCCGGCGTGAGTTTAAGCCACTGGGTCCGGGACTCGAACTGTGGTTGACTACGTGGGAGTCCAGCGACATAGTCACTACGCTAACTGCTGGTCCCCAGTATTTTGAAATTTTGAAGGTTGTTTATTAACTGTCAAGAACTATGGAGTATGAGCATTTTTTTTTTTTGAAAGGTTTTTGCTGCAGGGCACATGTGCTTGCCAGAAAGACATAGAGAGACAGAGAGACAGAAAGTGAGAAATCACCCCCCCCCCGGGTGGGGGGGAATGGCCACGCTGCAATCCCTTCTCTTCCATTCTCCTCTAGGGATCTTGGGCACACACGCACATGTGCCCGGCGTAAGTTCAAGCCACTGGGTCGGGGACACAAACCGCAGTTGACTACACTGGAGTCCAGCGACATAGCCATTACGCCAGCTGCTGATCCTAATGTCTGAGCCATTTTAAAAACGTATTTCTTATAATTAACTGTAAATAGAAATACTGAAAAAAATGAAAGAA